AAAAAAAAAAAAAAAAAGAGCGGTCTCTCTCAAGCTACAGGTTCACAGGGCTGATATTTTAGAACAAAACTCTCAAGACTGAGAACCACTGTTCCCTCTTAAACGTAATCAGAATAAGGGCAGGCAGATGGGTTTTTATACCACACTTCAAAATCAGTTACAGAGCAAGTAGGGCTTTTTACCTGATCCTCCCTCTTTTAAGAGTTTTTACATTTCAGAGTGCGGCAGGATCATCCTGTTCCCAGATGCCCCTCTGCTACTTGGAGGCGGGAATCTAATCCATACATACCCCAGATTCACTAAAGGAAAACAGAATGACCTAGAGGTCTTTCAGAGGATTCCTTTATTCGTTTTAAAAGGATTGATGGGAGTACCTGCTGTGTTCAAGGCACTGATTAGGTGCAGAGATAGAGCAGAGCGTGAGCGAGAAGCCCCTGCCTCCCGGATTACACTGAGGTGGAAGACAGATGGGCAGCAAGAACAGGCCGCAGGATGAAGGATAACAGAGTGCCACAGAGGAAGATAAAGCAGGGGGGGAAGGGAGTGGGAAGACAGACTGTCCAGAGATGCTCTGGAAGGCCTTCCTAAGGAGGTGCCCTTTGTGCCGGAACCTAGACACTGCAGAAGCAGGGACTCCAAGTACCGGGGAACAAGCCTGTGGGGCGGGGGACAGGGCGAGCACAGGGGTGTTGGCCAGTATGGGCATGTCGTCCCTGAGGAGCAGTAGACAGGCCAGCCAGGCTTAAGTGCAGTGGGCAAAGTGGCAACAGAGGCAGGAAATAGGTGGGAGTGGCAGCCAGGGGCCGGATCATACAAGCCGCGGCAGGAGTCCGGATCCTGTGGTTATGTGAGCTCCTTGGGAGTTGCGAGCAGGCAGGGCACATGGTCTCATTTACACTTTATTTATTTAAAGTTTTTTTTTTTAAAGAGCGGCAGGCAGAGGGAGAAGTGGGCTCCCCGCGGGGCTCGATCCCAGGACCCTGAGATCATGACCTGAGCCGAAGGCAGATGCTTAATGACTGAGCCACCCAGGCGCCCCTCATTTACACTCTTAAGAGTAATGCTCTGGGGCACCTGGGTGGCTCAGTCGGTTAAGCGACTGCCTTCGGCTCAGGTCATGATCCTGGAGTCCCTAGATCGAGTCCCGCATCGGGCTCCCTGCTCGGCAGGGAGGCTGCTTCTCCCTCTGACCCTAACCCCTCTCATGTGCTCTCGCTCATTCTCTCCCAAATAAAAAATCTTAAAAAAAAGACTAATGCTCTGGTTGTTGTGTGGAGAAACCGTGGGATAGGAGTGAGACCGGGACACCAGCAAGGGCATGACTGCCTTGACTATGTAAGACAGGATGATGGCTTGGACGATGTTGGCAGCACCAGAAGTAGTGAATGTGATTGGGTTCAAGTTATATTTCGAAAGTCAGGATTTGCTGATGGATGGGGCATGGGTGTGAGGAAGACAAGAATCTAGGATGACCCTAGTGCATGTGACTTGAGTTACTGGCCCTATGACAAGGCCATTGACCACTGGAAGATGAAGGGGGCGGCACTCAAGAGTTCTGTTTCGGACATGTTCATTTTTTGATGCTATCTTGGATATCAAGAAGGCTGGTAAATTTCAAAGCTGAGAGCTTCAAAGTCAAGCCCAAAGATATAAATTTCGTGGTCACATACATACAGCGCTTAAAGTCCTGGGACTGAAGAAGACCACCGAGAGAGAGAACGTTGAGAGGCTGGAAGGTTGAGCCCTGGGGTTCTTCAACACCTAGAGGTTTGAAGAAAGAATCTGATCCAGCAGAGCAAGTGAGAGAAGCCAGGAAAAGAGAAGTTCAGGAGGGACTGTGGTTTCCTAGAAGGCATCGTGAAGAGTATCTCAAGGAGGAGGAGGAAATAACAAATGCCACCAGGGGTTCCCATGAGGACTGAGCATCAACTGCTGGACTGGGCAACGTGGACGGTGGCCTTGATGAGAGCAGGGTTTCTGGCAATGATGATGACGATGTATTCAAAGTGCGTGGGAATCCTAACATCAAAGTGATGCTCCAGCAACCGCCTTGACACCAGGGCTTTCCATCTGGTAGAAATGATCTTTCCGGTTTCAGTTTTCATGACACGCCGTCCTCAGAAGGTTATCCCAAAGGAAGTCACCTTCATGGACTCCAGTTACAGGGCATATCACAGTAAGTGCTGTGCTTTCTAGTGACAATCGGTATGAAAGCTTCCAGCCGTTAATGAGTCTCTCCTACCTTCTAACACAAGCCCTGGGAAATTACCCAATGTTAGGCTAGTATTTTGTCATTAGGTGCATCTAAAAAAACTCAAAGTGATTGCAAAATGGACCTTATGCTTCTCAGGAGGATGTGTCCACAGAAAGGTTAGAAAATGGTGGATCAAACAAGCTTTTTTACTGAAGGATTTCTTAGAGCTTTTCATATTCTAATATGTATTTTGCATCTCCAAAAGGTGGTGCCCCCATTTCCCGAACTTATTCGACCTCATGGGACTCCTGTTTTAGGGAATATTTTGACCACAGTGGCTTAGGAGGATCCAGCACTCATCAGAAGCGGTTCCTACCCAACCGCCTGAACACAGCCTACCCCCACCTTCACTGCTTCCCCCCAAAGAATCCTCTGTGACTCCATCTTGTCCACACCTGGAGATAGGAGGCAGACCTCTGTGATGTAATGTGTGCCTCCCGCTTTCCCCCATGGATATGGTATCAACTCAGTTCTGAAAGGGTCTCATTTCATTTACTTCATAAACTCAAGTCTCCGGTTTCTTATGCTAAAAACTACACGAGGAGACAATGTCTAGAGCAGAAATAAGCAAAACATGCTTCTTGGAAGGGCTAGAATGAGTCTGATTAATTTTTTTAAAATTAAAAAGCGAGGGGCGCCTGGGTGGCTCAGTCGTTAAGCGTCTACCTTCGGCTCAGGTCATGTTCCCAGCATCCTGGGATCGATCCCCGTATCGGGCTCCCTGCTCCGCAGGAAGCCTGCTTCTCCCTCTCCCACTCTCCCTGCTTGTGTTCCCTCTCGCTGTGTCTCTCTCTCTCTGGTCAAATAAATAAAATCTTTAAAAAAAAAAATTAAAAAGTGAAATTCATGGGGCGCCAGGGTGGCTGAGTCGCTTGAGCGTCTGCCTTTGGCTCAGGTCATGATCCCAGAATCCTGGGACTGAGCTCCACATCGGGCTCCCTGCTCGGCGGGAAGCCTGCTTCTCCCTCTCCCTCTGTCTTCCACTCCCCTGCTTGTGGGCACTCTCTCCTCTCTCTCTCAAATAAATAACATCTTTTTAAAAAAAAAAAAAAAGGGAAATTCACAAGTAAAAAAAAAAAGATTTCAAATGGTGAATAATTTTTCTAGCCCGTGCAGTTCTCTTAATTCCTTTTTACATCAGTGATCATTTTACAGTCTCCCCTTTCCACCACCTATATCCCAACTCAGGCTTTAAATATTTTAATGCAGATACTCATCAAATAGTTGAAGGGCGGGTTTTAATGATAACCACTGGGAAACTGAACTTTTAACTTACACTTATCTATTTAGCATGGATGAACACAGAATCCACACAGACCAGCTCAATGGATGTGAGAGGAATAATCAACTCAGAAAGTCATTTTGTTAAAAATATTTATTTAAAAAAATACAATTGTTGTCCATATCTAGTTGCACATAGATCTATTAACATGTCTACATAGTTTTGGACTTCAGTAAATTTGCTATAGTGCTTTCTTAAAGCTAGCTTGCCATTATACAAAGCAAATTCCTCTGTCAGTTCCTGCATAAAAATAGTTGTTTTTAACATACCCTCTTTCTAAAAAGACCATTACAGAGTTTAACAAAATTTTTGCATACAACTTGAAGTGACAGAAAAAACGGTCACCTGATTGGTTATCAGAGCAACCCCTTGCTATGTCTGGAGATGCACTGAGTATCAGCTACACTTTTCTCTTTTAAAAGCAGCATATCATAAAGCCCCCAAAGTGCTAGCGCATCGTCGTCCTCACCTACCTATGCTCTGTGTGAAGGTTCTTTGCCACATTCAAACAGAGTTTGAAACTCTGGCTACAGTCAATCCTAATCAACCTTAAAACAACACCCCTTTGCCTCCCAACAGGCTAGGCCAGACTGCTGAGCTAGAAGCCATGGCAGCTTCTCTCCCGCTGCACCAACAATCAGTATGCTTTTAATAAATGGTAGTGGTTACCATCATGTCAATTGCAGTGTTAGGAAAAAGAAGAAAAAAGCAATTTTAATACTTTGAAGGTCTCCCTAATGTAAATTACACTGACTTTAAGACAAGTTATAGTGACGCATTACCCGTCATTCATTCCTTCGGGTAAGTGTGCGCCAGCATTACACAGAAACCTTCCGTGTACACAGAAGTGGTGGAAACTAGATATTGTGAGAGATCGATTTCAACAAACAAGGGGGAAAATCGATCTAGGCTGGAGGGAAGCACCCTGACAAGTTCTTATTACCGCATATCCCGAACTAAGACGGGGATGTAAAAAAGAGTACTTCTCTCCAGTGTTAATGCCACAACAGACAAATGCTTTTCTTCTGCATCAGACACAGGGCGGATGAAAATCAAATGTTTACTATTTAATAACATTCAACTTTCATGTGATAGCCACACCTGAAGATCCAGTAAGGCTCATAAAAAATTACTGTCAAAATGCAAAAATATACACTTTTTTTTTTTAAGCCAACTTAATTATCTG